AGGCTGTGGGACTCTAGGGCACTTCCTAGTGATTTAGAAGAATGGGAACTGAAGAGGCTCTTATTGAAAGGCTGAAAAATCAATGTGCTTCCTTATGTCCTGAAGGTCTTTTTTTTTAATGGATTTTGAGTCACAAATTCCCCATTTGATATACTTTTCAAGGCAACTCCTCCTTATCTAACCAATCACAATGGATGATCTGTTTCAAAGGGCTCCTGAGCTTAAAAAGTGACACTTGAATTGAAGGAATTCTAAATGGAGCAGAAATATTGAAGCTAAATTTCTCTTGATATGTATGTGGATGTGATGACTAAAGGAAAATACACTGAAAACTTAATGCATATATTCTGCTTCCTGCCAAATTCAAGCTATTAAAAAATAGCTACACATGCCCTATGGTTGCTTCAACCCAAATCAAGTGCCATTAGAAGATCAATATGTGTGTGTGTGTGGTGATTGATATGCATATGTATGTGTGTGTGTGTGTGTGTGTTTTAGACATTGAGCAGAAACGTTCAGACCACACCTCTGATTTCAGTGGCGTAAGGAACTCCTAGTAAGAAAATGCCCTCTACCAATATGACTCATCACTAACTGCTCCACAATTTAGAGTCTTAGAGAATTGCTTGGTGCTCTGAAAATTTAAATGATTTGTCCAGGATCGCATAACCAGGCATAGGACTTGAACTTAGGTTTTCTTGGTTCTGAGGCCAGCTCTCTGTAAACTATGCCATACATATATGATTGTGTGCACACATGTGTGTGAATGTGTGTGGGTCATCACATTGGTGATAATAGTGGTTAGGTTCCCATGTCAGTCCCTAAAAGTCTATTTAACCTATAATGTATTTGAAGAATAATATCAATTAAGCTATTTAAAAAATTTTTTGGTCCAAGCCTGTGATTCCATCATTGTAGGGAATTCTCAGGAAGGATAGCTCCCTCTGCCAATGCAGATTGACAATTGCTTTTCAACTTACCGTCTTAGAAAGAGTTTCATGGTACACTAAGAGGCTCTGGGACTCATCTAGGATTACATAACCACCATGTCTCAGAGGTGAGATTTGAACCCAGGTCTCCCTAACTCCTAAGCCAGCTCTCTTCTCCACTACACCAAGTTGCCCCTCCTATGTGCATATAGATAGACATCATATTTAGCTTTACATTGTTGCATCTCCATCTCAACTTCTCTGAATTCTTCTGTTAGGTTCCTATAGCACATTAACGTTCACTCTGTGCACGCTGATTATAAGTTTCATGTTGAAACATGCAACTACTAGACTGTGAGGCAGTCAGGGAAGTTGTCTCAGAGAAATGCAACCATTCAAATGCCCCTTTTTCCTCCTTCATTTGTAAATGAACTCACACCAAAGGGAGGAAAGGAACCAAACTGAATTGATACCCATCCTTCCATAGACAGCAAGCTATTAGTTTCTTCCCATCTCCAACATGTGCACTGTGATGCCAGAATCTAGTGTACATTAAATGATGGCTTTTCAGTCTCAGGAAGTGCCTGCTTGAAACAGCAGGGTGGCTGTTTTACGTTCCACGCTGTTTAAGGGAAGAAAGACAGGCAGGCAAAGTATCTCAGTGATGCTACACAACTTTGCACTGTTAATTTGCCTTGGCAGGACACAGCTGTGCTGTAGCTTTGCTTTCTCCAGTGGGTGAAATAAGAAGGCACTGCAGGAAACAGGAGCAAGACAATTAATAAATGTGAACAGCTTGCTCGAGTGCAAGTGCCTGGAAGATGTACAGATGTGCCCACGTGCACAGCAGAGGACCTGGTTGATCATGGCCAGTTAGAATTCTCCTCTTCCTTTTTCACTTCATCTTAAAAGATAAGATTTCAAAGAACCAGTTTTCAAACAGTTGTTCCCAAGAGATGTGGGGTGAGAAGACAAGGAATTGTAGAGAATAATAACCACATTCCTATAAATAGAAATTTAAGGAGCACATAACACTGTGCTAAATATTAATTTTTAAAAGTTATTAAAATATTTTGCTTTTTTGCTTTTATTATCTTAACATAATAATTATGTCAAGAAAGTAGGGGAATAATGGAAAACCAAATACATGAGAAAGAATTCATTATATTACATCACTGCTGATAGAATAAGTTGGTTTTTAAAAATTCAGGTCTGAATTCTGTTTTTCTCTAAACACTCCTTCCTTGTCCACCCCAGTTTCTTTATTGACAACCTTTAATTTCCTCATTCAAATATTTTTGTCCTTCTATATCTTTTTTCATTGTATCAGAAAGGACTAGTTCCTTATAGGATTACATAAAAGTAGCCATCAGGATTTCTAAGGTGCCAAGCTTATAACCAATCAGTTTAATTTTCCCCATGTTTTTCGACTGGCTACTTGATAACTCTATGAAGGAATCAAGATTTGCTCTTGCCTCAACTGGGATCTTTCAATAGTGGTTTTGTTCTTTTTGAAACTGAAAGGGAGATAGCTATCCTCCTGTATTTTCTGAGTTTTCTTAACACTTCATCTCATGTATAGCCAGCTATCTGTTCTCGGCTTATCCGTATTTTACATGATCTCTATGCACCAGAGGCCATCTTTCTACTTTATCACCTAACTAATTATACAGCATCAATACCTGACATGTTTCCTAATTTCCTGTGACTCCACTGGATTCCCTTCTAAGGTTTTAAAGAATCCATTTTTGTTTCCTTTGTTATTTCCTTTTTATATCTTGGCCTGGCAGTCAGCAATGTGAATGTGCAATAGACTGGTCAGGGGAGAAAAGGTGGAGAAAATGAGTATATTGATTTTCTTCAAGAGTTTAACAACCACCTTTTTTAGGTTTTGAATAATTTATGTGTGTTTGAGTTAGTTTGCTTGGGGAGTTTTTTTGTGAGGGAAAGTTATCAAAGCAGTTTTTATCTTAGAATTCAATGGGTACAAAGGAAAAAATCCCAAGACCTTCACCCCCCTCCCCTGCTGGTCAATCTCATCATCATGCCAAAATATTCTACTTTACTAATCTAGAACTCTAAAATTCTTCTGACTATAATCTCCTATCCTTCAATTTCTCCCAGGGTCTCTCTCCTCCTAAAACTCTGCATTCTTATCTCCAATCACTCCACTGATCCGCCCTGATTTCCCAGTTAGGCTTTTCTGCTCTGTCATTACTTTTGTTCTTGACCCTTTGGTTAACCAGTTAAACTTTTTACTATTCTTCACCCTCTAATCATATATTCCTTTGTTTGTGTAGTCCCATCACCTAGTACAGGGCTTTACACATAATAAGCCCTCAATAAAATAAGGATAAAAATAAGGTTGAAGAGTTACTTAGCTGCCTGTTTTTGAAGGGCCTCAAATAGCAGGTGAGGAATCTCAGCTTAATTCTGAAGACATCAGAGAGCCACTGAAAATTGACCAATAGAGGGCTGATGTGTACCAAATGATATTTTAGGAAGATTACTTCTCTCCATACCCTGCCAAGTTTAAATTCTATCTTTTAAATGAAAGCTGCCCTGATTACCCTTCTGCCCTCTTTTATATATAATATTGACTGTATATATGCTCTTTTTTTTGTATTACAAATTTATTTTATTTTCAATTCATGGAACAAAATAATCATTTCCATAAGACAGTACAATAAAAAAGATGATTGCACATGAAAATCTACCATGTACAACTTGCTGTTTCTTCCAAATATACAACAAAGTTGTCATGTAATTTTTTTTCCTTTCCCATCCTTCCTGCCCTGGCTCCAGAACTGGCTACCAATAGACATAGATAGATAGATAGATAGATAGATAGATAGATAGATAGATAGATAGATAGATAGATAGATAGATAGATAGATATAGATAGATGAATAAAATCATTCTCTTTGTGTGCTTATCACATAGTGCCTTATATTCTTAGTGAACTTTTCATGTTTACTCATCTTTCTTTTTTTTCCTCTCACAGCAAGATCATGATCATCTAAGGCCATTTTAGTCTCCCATAGCATCTAGTTTAGTGCCTTGCACATTATAGGCGCTTGGTCAATATTGCTCTGACTATATTTGTCCATTGATATAACACATTTGAAACAGTTAATTCACAGTGAAAGAAGCTGTTACACTTGAAAACATGATGCAATGGGAAGAGTAGTGGATTTGGAGTTAAAACAGCCTGGGTTTGAATTCTGGTTCTCCTAATTACTATCTGTATGACCTTGGGCAAATAATTGAAGTCTCCCTGGGTTTCAGCTTCTTTCTTTATCTCTGAAATGATAAGGTTGGACTAGATGACCTATGTGCTCCCTTCCAGTTCAGAGTCTAAGATCTATAATGTTGTGCATGTTATTTTTAGTCAATTGACTAAACTAGCTAATCAATAAACATTTCTTAAGGGCCAGACACTGTCCTGTGCAAACAGCACCTGCAGAGAAAGGCAAAATGCAGTCCCTGCTCTGACGGAGCTCACAATCTAAGAGGGCAGACAACTATGTACAAACAAGCTATAGACAGGATAAATTGGAAACAGTTTTTAAAGCTTAGATCTAGTGATTAAAATAAAGTGGTTTTCAGTGGTTAGGTTTGTCAGCATTAACATGTTGAACACACACTGTGCATTCTGTTGCTAGCTAGCATTTATCGACTAATTCTTAGAGGATGGAACCTTGCTCATCATGTTAGTAGGTACACAGTTTGGTTCCTGATTTTTCTAGTGTTTCTGGTTGTATCATTTGAAGGTCCTTTTTTTTTTCCCATGCAGGCAGTTAAAGTGTAAGGTGTCCGTTCTTTATTGGAGGTAACAAATATACAGATTCAGGTAGAAAGTATTTCCATCCTGTCTATTAATACTCTCCCTCTAATGGTTATAAAGGTTAAGAGAAAAAAAAAATCAAAAGTGACACAAATATCCTTCTCACTACCTTGAAAGTATACTTATTTAAGATCGAGAAAGGCACATTCAACAATTTTTCAAGCTTGCTTTTCTTTCTCAGAAGCAGCATGGTTTATGTGATGATACTGTTGTCTCCGCTTTAGTATTCCATCTGCAGTGAACCTTTAATAGAATTATCCAACCCTGGGGCCAGTGGATCCTTGTTTTTTGTAACTAGTGATGACGAGTTTATCATCAAAACAGTTCAACATAAAGAAGCCGAATTCCTTCAGAAGTTGCTGCCAGGTTACTACATGGTGAGTACAGAAACCTGGGAAGAGATTCCTCCTTTTAGTCATATGACTACTTTTCTGAATCATTTTTCTTTCTCCTGGTTTTCAGAGTTAATTCTTTCACTTTGGCTGACTCAAAAAAAAAATCAGGGATTTTTGACACTCAGTGTCAAAATTTTTTTCTATTTTTTAAAGAAAACAAAACATGTACCAGGAGAGCTTCGATTCATGGCTCAGGATTTTGATGACTAAAGAGCTGAGAACAAATATATTAACATTTTAAAAGCCACAAGCATATAACCCAGGAAATTAGCCAGAGGATCTATATCTTTTTTTTTTTTTTTGGCTAGGCAACTGAGTTAAGTGACTTGCCCAGGGTCACACAGCTCAGGTCCTCCTGACTCCAGGGCCGGTGCTCTAGCACCACCTAGCTGCCCTCAGAGAATCTGTATCTCTAGAAAGCTAAAGAAGTAGTAGTATTACTTGCTTTAAGTAAGCAGGTATAAAACTCTGGATTTACTTGATAAAATCTCCAGCATCTAGAGAGGGGTGGGAAACCTGCAACCTCAAGGCCACATGTGGCTAGGTGTGGCCTTTTGACTGAGTCCAAGTTTTGCAGAATAAATGCTTTTATTAAGGGGGTTTCAACTCGGGTCTTCCTGACTTCAGGCCCATTGCTTTATCTACTACATCATCTAGCTGCCCTTCATTCTCATAGACGAGACAGCAATTACATATAGAAGTACATACATAGCATAATTCTCAATTGACTAAATACAAATATATAAAAAGCAAATAAAAATAAGATAGTTTGGGAAGCAAGGCCAGTATTCACTTAATTCATTAAAATAGAATTCTACTATATAGCATTTTTCATTGTGTTTATTTTTATTTTTTCAGCCAAAGACAAGGTTTCTTAAAGATCCACCATATTGGCCAGACTCTTAAGGAATCTAAGCATTTGTATCCCTAATGCAAGCAGGCCAGATTGAATCTGAGCCCTTTAATAGAGACAAGATGGACCTTACGTACAGAAAAACTTCGGAGGGATCTAGGAGTGGACAAGTAGTTTGGGGTGACTTGGAGGAGGGGTCTGGGAGAAGGGGTCTAGGGAAGATCTTGATGGGAGTGACTGGGTCAAGAATGGGGTCTAGATAGGATCAAGGGTGAGGCTAGGTTGAGGGTAAATGAGAATTAGGAGATTGAGAGATAAGGAAAGGCCAACAGATAAGATTATAGCGTCAGGCAAATGCTAGAGACTTCCTTGACCAAGTGAGAGAGTCCAAGCCCTAGAGCCTGCAGACAAATCGACTCTAATTCTCTTTGGTGTAAGGGGCAAAGGTCTTGGCTTGGGCCCATACCTTGTCATTCCCCACTCAAACAAATGTCTCATTGTTTTTAAAATACCATTTTATTTTAAAAAATTTGATCTGTACCATGTACAGTGTTTAAGGAACATATTGTTTAATTAGAGCTATAATTTTTACTACATTTGTTATTTTACTGATAAATTTTTGATATTTTTTCTTAATTATTCCCAAACACTAGATATTCCCAAATATTTCTACCATTTTCTTTTTCTACTTTTTTCTCCCTCCCCCACTTTTTTTTAAGACTAAGTCTATCAGACTGAAAGTTCAGAGCCTATTCATGACCCTGATCCATTCTGATCAAAACAGGAATTCCATTTCTCACCTGAGCCAATTTACCTCTCTTAATCACACTATTTTGTGAGCCCCTACTCTGTAGGGGTCAAATCCTGCCTTCTGTGCTTAATAGCTCAATGACCCTGGGTGAAGTCACTTAAATTCCCTGAGCCCCGGTTTCCTCATAGAGATAATAATGCTTGTAGTTTCCACTTTACAGAGTAGTTATGAAGATTAAATGGGGCAATGCATGCATTTTACTTTGCCACTTTAAAGCACTACATAAAAGATTACTATCATTATAATTATTGTTGTTGTTGTTGTTCTTTAAAGCACTTTTACCAAGCTTCAAGCTTTGCAACTATGTGGCACCATGGATACAGAGTGCTGGACCTAGAGTCAGGAAGACCAGAGTTCAAATTCAGTCTCAGGTTGGAGCCTCACTGGCTTTGTGATGCTGGGCAAGTCATTTAACTTCTGTCTACCTTAGTTTCTTCATCTCTAAAATAGGGATAATAATAGCATTTAACTCCCAGAGCCATTGTGAAGACAAAATGAGGTATTTGCAAAGAGCTTTGCAAAACTTAAAGTGCCATATAAATGCTATTATTATTATATAAATGTCAGTCATGATTGCTGTACTAACAATAACTTCCTTATATCATTCTTAAGGTTTGGCAAAGTATGTTATATGAATTATCTTACCTGAGCTTCACAACAATCCTATCAATTAGATAAAACAGCTATTATTGTGCTCCATTTTACAGATGAGGAAATGGTGCCTTAGAGAGAGGTTTTATCATTTGCCTAGGCATGACTATTGCTACTGGTACCTTTGTTATAATGTCTCCCTATAGTTGCACTGCCTTGCATTATCGTCATTAAGGTAACAGACAAAACGTGTCCATGAACTTATGTAAAAAAACTCTATTAGCATCCTGAGAAAAAACTGATGGGATAAGTTTTCTAATGATAATTATTTATAAATTTTATTAAGGTAACCTGTTTAAATCTGGTTTTTCTTCTTTGTTGGACTCATTTAGAGGGTTAGACTCATTCATTTATGCTGATGGTTCTTAGATCAACATAGCTTCTGCTTATTTAAATAAATATGGCTTATTACAAGCTAATTCATTCTATGGGATTTTCAAAAGAAAGAATATAGTTTCCAAAGAAGTGACACATATATGTCACGCCTATTAATTCATAAATACTTATTTTCTTTCTAGTCATAATTTCCTATATCAAACTATTAAATGCATAGACTTTTTTAAAAAAAAATTTAATAGAAGATTCCCTTAATCACAAATCTAGTTTTTGTTTAACTTAGAGCCAATTTCATGAAATCATTGGGTAATAGATTTAGAGCTGGAAGAAACCTCAGAGGGCATCTAGTGCAATTCCATTTTTACAGAAGAAAAACAAAGATCCAGACCTTTCTCAGTGACTTGTGTAAGGTCATATAGTTACTATATTATATGTACTAATGGAGAACTTGTATATATGGAAAACTTGTGAATCTGACTCCCAATCCAAGACAAGCTATAATCAGTTCAGTTATGTCCAACTCTTTGTGATGCTATTTGGGTTTTTTTTTTGGCAAAGATACTAGAGTGGTTGGCCATTTCCTTCTCCAGCTTATTTTACAGATGTGGAGACTGAGGGAAATAGGGTAAGGGACTTGCCCAGAATCACATAGCCAGAGAGTGTCTAAGGCCAGATTTGTGATGTCATTGGTCCTCTTAAAAAAAAAAAACACAAAGGACAAATTCAGTAAGATGACTCTTCCTAACTCCACTGCACCACCTAGCTGCCCCACAAGACAAGTTAACAAGCATTTATTAAGCACTTACTATTTAAGAGCCATCCCCATGTTCTTTCTCCTGGACCATGTCACCTCTCCTCATGATCCATCCACTTCATTCAGTTTTCATGTCCTGGATTTAGGATGAAAATTATGTAGCATTAAGCAAAATTAGAATCTGAAGCAGACAAAGATAAAGAGCAAAGGTAATTCATGAGGATGATTACACTTGACATTCCTTCCTAATGCTATCATGAAAACACCACTTTGAACAAACAAGGAAGAGAGAAGATCGCAGGCCATAAAGTGGGTAATTTTGGTTACATAAAATTAATATTTTGCAGAAACAGGTGCAATTAAAACAAGATTAAAAGGGAAACAACTGGGGAAAAAATCTTTGCAGGAAGTTTTCCTGATAAAAGGCCTAATTTCCAAGATATATTAAGAACTGATTAAAATTTATAAGAATAAGAACCATTCCCCAGTTGACAAATGGCCTAAGGGTATGAACAAGCCATGCTAAAAAGAAGAAACCCTTATGGCTATCTATATCATATTTTTAAAAATGCTCCAAATCATTAATAATTGGACGAGTGCAAATTAAAGCACTTCTGGGATTCCACCTCACACCCATCAGATTGGCAAAGTTTGAAAGAAGAAGGAGGAGGAGAAAAAGTTGGCAAATAATGGAGGGGCTGTGGAAAAATAGGTACATTAATAAACTTTTAGTACCAATTTTTAATTGGTACAACCATTCTGGAAAGCAATTTGGAATTACACACAAAAAGTATTAAACAATGCATAGCCTTTAATGGAGCTATATCACTGCTAGATCTATACCCAAAAAGAAGTCAAAGAAAGAGGAAAAGGTTCTATATGTATGAAAATACTTATAGCAGCTCTTTTGTGGTATCAAAAAGTTGGAAAGTAAGGGGACACAATTCAGTTAGGGAATGGCTAAACAAATTATGGTATATGATTGTGAAGGAGTACTGTTGGTTCATAAGAAATAAGGAAATAAATGTTTTCGAGGAGACATGGAAAGACTTGTACAAACTAATGCAAAGTGAAATAAGCAAAATCAGAAAAACAATTTATTCTATAATATCAATTATATTTTTAACATAACATCAATTTTGCATGTTATGAAAATGGACAGTTTTGAAGGCTGATGAAAAACTGATGAAGAATGAAATGAGCACTACTAGAAGAACAATTTAGGAAATAACAACATTGTTAAAGCAAAACAACTTTGAGAACTGTAAGAATTTTAAGCAATAAATAATATTCTTGACTCCAGAAAACCAATGATGATGCATCTTATCCTCTTCTGGACAGAGATGGTGATGACAATGATGATAATGATGATGGTAGCTAGCATTCTGTAACACTTTACAATTTGTAAAATACTTTACAGATATTATCTCATTTTATCCACATGAAAACCCTGAGAGCTAAATGCTATCATTATTATTATTACTCTCATTTTACATATGAAGAAACTGAGGCAGACAGATTAAATGACTTGCCTAGTGTCACCCAGCTAAATGAGTGTTTGAAGCAGATTTGAGCTCGGGTTTTGTTGATTCCAGGTCCAGCATCACTGCCCCACCTAGGTGATTTGGGGTTGAGAATTAGACATTTTTCAAAAACAGCCAATGAGAGAATTTGTTCTCCTTGACTATGCATATTTGTTATAAGAAATTTGTTTTTCTTTTTTTAATTGGGCAGAGAGTGAGAGAGAAAATAGATAGCTGTTAGTTAAAAAAAAACCTTTAACAAAAAGAACCTCTTTGATTTATTGGCACAATTGTTTAAAAGGTTATTTTGATTTTTCTTTCTCTCTTTTTTGTTCTAGAACTTAAACCAGAATCCTAGGACTCTTTTACCAAAGTTTTATGGACTTTACTGTGTGCAGTCAGGGGGCATTAACATCCGGATTGTGGTGATGAACAACATTTTGCCTCGCTCAATGAAAATGCACTTTACCTATGACTTGAAAGGTTCTACGTATAAGCGACGAGCATCCAGAAAAGAGAGAGAAAAATTAAACCCTACATTCAAGGACTTGGATTTCTTGCAAGACATGCATGAAGGATTATATTTTGATACAGAAACATACAACGCATTGATGAAGACACTCCAGCGAGACTGTCGGGTAAGGAGAGGCCGTTATTATGATTTGTACTGCAAAGTCCTGTTCCCTGATGAACACTTGAGTTACTAACTCTCTCATGTGGATGGGAGAACATCACCCTGGCTACTGCTAGTTCTTGTTTTGGCAAATTAGTAATAATATTTGCAAAAAAAATTTGCTGTAAATGAAGTAAACATAGAGTTTTTCAGTCTGGAATGAGTTAATAAAGGATAAGACATTTACTAAGGAAGGCTTATAATGTACTGAATTGTTTGCTAAGAGTTGGGGACATGAAAACAAAAACAAAGATCGCTTTTTCCCTCATGGAGCTTACATTCTAATAAAAAGAGACTAGACAAGGGGCAGCTAGGTGGTGCAGTGGATAGAGCACCAGCCCTGAAGTCAGGAGCACCTGAGTTCAAGTCCAGCCTCAGACCAAACACTTGACACTTACTAGCTGTTTGATCCTGGACAAGTCACTTAACCCTAATTGCCTAAAAAAAAAAAAAACCAAGAGACTACACACACTGTTAGTGGTAGCCAGGAAGGAGAATATTTTGGTTCAGAAATTTTACAAGGATGGTGGAAAAGGCCATAGGAAGTTAAATTGACACACTCCTTGCAGGAACAGTGAAAGAGATGATTTAATCATGGTTCCAGAATGTATTAAGACAGACCCATATGGTGGTAATGTAATTAATTGGCACTGAAGGAATACTATCTCAGTATCCTTATCTCCCTACAGAAAAAACAGTGGCAGAAATTTTGTTTTCCTTCTACCTTTGCTGTAGGGAAATTAGTCAAACTAACTGAGAATAGATATTTGGGACTAATATAGTGATTAAGCAGATAAGCTATATGCAATTCTTGAGGGAAGAGGAATTCCTAATGGGGAGAGAGTTTTGGAAGCAGATTGCGTGATAATGTAAATAAGTGGATCCCAGGAGGTCCATGTGTGGACACAAGCCAATTATGGAAAGCATTTGCTGAAATTGCTTTCTGTTATCTGGATGAGAAGCAATCAGGAGCTGGGACTCAAGGGCTTCAAGTACAAAAGCTTATTATGTGCAAACTTGGCCTAAGTAACTATCCAAAACTAAGGCCAAGTGATGCTCAGGGGAGATTTTTACATGGTGGAACTGCACAAAATGTATATTGGGATCTATGTCTAGAAAAGGTCTGAAATTCATCCTACATTGGCTTTTGCCAGTTCCATGGTAGTTGAACAAACAAATCCTCTGGGAAGAGAGCCTCTTTTAACAAAGTCAGCCTAAGCAGAGAGTGGATTGGGAAAAGTTCCAAACTTCTTAGTGCTGGGTCACTAACTACGGTGGTTGTTAGCTGAGAAAGTCTGTGGTACTATTAGGAACAGGCCAAGGGAGGACTATATTTGCTGAACTTGCACAGTCCATTCACACATGAATATGAGAGGAATTCCCTGGGCCATGTCCATTTGTCCATATCATCTATAGAGAGGAAATAATATGAACATAGAAAAGTAAATACAAAATTTTATACAAAGTAATTTCAAAGGAAACTGGGAAGGAATTAGTAACTGGGCTTGTCCAAATAGGCCTCATATAAGATGTGGACCTTGAGCTCAGCCTCAAAGAAAGGTAAGAGGGATGAGAGGTGGAGGGGAGATGAGAGTACATTTCAGATGAAGAATACTGACCCAGCAAAGAGACAGAAGAGGAAATGTACTTTTTAGAGACATCTGGGTAGCAAAGTGGATAAAGTTCTGAGCCCGGAGTCAGGAAGACCTGAATGCAAATCTGAGCTCAGACATTTACTAGCTGTGTGACTCTGGGAAAGGCACTTGACTTCTGTTTGCCTCAGTTTCCTCAACTGTAAAATGGAAATAATAGTCACACTTACCTCCCAGGGTTGGTGTGAGGATTAAGTGAGATAATATTCGTAAAGCACTTAGCATAGTGCCTGATGCATAGTAGGGTGCTATATAAATGCTAGTCATTATTATTATTATCATTATTTTCCAGGAAACAGCAGTAGGCCAGTTCGGTAGGAACATGTGAAGGAAAGTAATATGCACTAAATCTGGGGGGAATCAGCTAGAGACAAATGGTGAAGGATTTTAAATGAATATTCAGTATGGGAGTAGTTTCTGTGCTGTGACCACATATGGCTTCTAGGTCACAGAGGGACATCCTGAGAAGGAGTAATTATGTCTCCTCCAAAACAATTCATGAAGGATGGGGGGGGGGGAGTCCATCTTGTTTGGTTGGAAGGGATGGAGTTGCCCCTACATACTGCAATATAGTAAGTAGGGAAATCATTCCTAGGCCCTTGGCCTATCTACTATGAGTAACAATGCTTCTGACAGTGAAATGTGTTTTTTGGGATGCATCCTTTTCATTTAATAGAAGTATAATTCTATAGGCTTTTGTTCCCAGAAATAGTTAGGTGGCATCAAATGAGATATTTGTAAAGTCTACAGGAAAAAAAAAAGGAGGGAGGTATTTTTTAAGAGGATGATTAATGGGCCTCTACAAAAGGAAGAGGCCAATATGACTTTATCAAGAAGAAGACATGACAGACTCACTCTTTCTTTTTTCTTTTTTTTGACATGCTAACTAGACTGATATATGAGAATGCTGTTGATAGAATTTGCCTACGTTTTACTAAATCTTCTCATCCTATTCTTGTGCAAATGATGCAAAATGTGAGTTAGATGATGATGCAATTAGGTAGATTTCCAAACTGGTTGAATGATCAGAAGCAAGAGTTAATAATTGTTCAGAATTATCTGGGAAGGAAGTCTATAGTGTTATGTCCAAGGGATCTGTTCTGGGCCTGATGGTATTTAGCATTCGGTTGTTTTGTTTTTTTTTTAATCAATGACTTGGGGAAAGGAATAGATTGCATACTTATCCAATTTGCAGATGTCACCAAGCTGGAAGGGATAACTAACTCATTAGATGATAAAGCTAAGACACCAAAACGTCTTAACAAGCTAAAAACAATGGGCTGAATCTAATAAGATTAAATTTAACAGAAGTAAACATAGTCTTATACTTGAGTGCAAAAGAAATCAACTTCATAATTATAAGATTAGAGGAATGGTCACTAAGCTCTGAAAGATGTCTGACGATTTTAGTATGCTGCAAGCTCAATAGAAAACGACAGTGTGATATGACAAGCCAAGAAAGTTAATGCAAACCCACCAGGCTTGTATGTAATAGAAGCATAGTGTCCAAGACTAGGGAGATGATATACTTGCCTTACTGTATCCTGGTCAGTCCATACGTGTGTTATTGTATTCAGTCCTGGGTGCTACATTTTAAGAAGGACATTGCTAGCTGGACATAGAGCTATATAACCAACAGTTCTGGCTCTCAAGGTAAACACCACAAAACATATTCATTGCATGCATTAAAACAAGTTTGTTTGCTCAGGGATACTTAGTGAGAGGTATCAGAACACAAAGTCCCACTGGGAAGAAAGCACCTGGCGGGTAGATAGGGGAGAGTGAACACAGATTCCCGGACACCTTCTGAATCTTGCTGATAGGAAATGAAATGAGGTCAGGCTGAAGAGGAATTGGCCTTGAAATGGTGTGCAACCACTTTAGGATGAAGAGGAATATCCTATTTGGTATCTTCCCATTTTAACTAATTATTCTTGCTAAGTTAAGTGATAAGATCAGTTGTTTCTACCTGGTAAAGGTATGCAAGTGCTGTCCAATTTCTCTGAATTTCAGCGCCTTTGGACAAAGCCTCATCACCCCACCTGAGTGGTAGCTCTAGCTGGAGCTAGAAGAGGGAAACTAGGTAGGTGAAGATCCTCAAGATCATACCATGTGAAAACTGGTTGAAGGAACTTGGTGTTTAGCCTAGAACACAAAAGATTTAGGGGAGGGGAGGGACAAGGGAAAGCCATGGTAACCGTCTTCAATTATCTGAAGAGCTATCATATCAAAGAGAGAATAGAATTGTTTTGCTTAGTCTCAGAGGGTTGAAGCTACAAAGAGGCAAATTTAGCATTAAGGTAAGGAAAAACTCTCTCTTAATTTGTATCGTCTAAAACTGGAGGGGCAGCTAAGTGGCGCAGTGGATAGAGCACCAGCCCTGAAGTCAGGAGGACCTGAGTTCAAATCCGGCCTCAGACCAAACACTTGATACTTACTAGCTGTACGACCCTGGGCAAGTCACTGTAACCCCAATTGCCTAATAAACAAACAAACAAACAAATAAATAAAGATGGAATGGGTTACTTCAAAAAAAATAGTGGATTCCCCTCTGTGGACATCTCTTAAAAGCTGGACAACCTGGGGCAGTTAGGTGTCGCAGTGGATAGAGTAGCAGCCCTGGATTCAGGAGGACCTGAGTTCAAATCCAGCCTCAGACACAGAACACTCACTTAGCTGTGTGACTCTGGTCAAGTCACTTAACCCCAATTAAGAAAGGAAGGAAGGAAGAAGTTGGACAGCCATTTATGTTGTAAAAGGATCCTCCATGTATGAGTTGGACTAGATGGCCTCCAATCTTGAGATTCTATGGGTTTTTTTTATGCTTTTTAGGATAAATAGGGATTGGGAACAATGATGAAGCCATGAATAAAAATAGTAGAGAAGGAAGCAGGTTTAGGATTCATGTGAATAGTTGTTGGTTACTGCTGAAGGAATATTGTGCATTCATTCATTCATTTATTGAACATGTAGTTAGTGCTACTATTGTGAGACAGTGTGGTTTAGTAGAAAGAGGACTAGTCTTTGGGGATGAAGACCTAAATCTGAATCTTGGCTCTGCCAGTTACTAGTTCTGTCACCCTGGACAAGTCACTAAAACTTCTTCTTGTCTTGGTTTCTTCCTTTATAAAATGAGGATAATACTGCATTATTGAATTTACTGGGGCATTGTGAGGAAAACACTTTGTAACATCTGAATGCTATATAAATGGGAGTTATTAATGAGTTCCTTGCTGTTCAGCAGTTTGCTGTCTGGCATAAATATAGAAGAGATGCAAGGTGCTTGTAGAGGTCATGATAAGAAAGTAATGAC